CTCTTCCCGCAGCCGGAGTCGGCGGCGAGGCCGATCACCACCGTCTGAGAGTCTCCGGCGGAGCATGTGATGACGGTGGTGGATCTCCGGCAGGTGGGAGATCTTCTCCGGTAGAAGAAGACGTGTTTTGAAACGAGGGAAGAAGAAGGAGACGTGGAAGAAGATAAGAAGTGGGTTGAATTGAGGGACTGAGAGGTGTAGACCGTGGAAACCGCCATTGAAGCTCCTGCTCTCAAGCTCGGAGTTTGGGCTTATGAGCTCGAGGGGAGGTAGAAGAAGGAGAGACCGATGGGATAGAATGGCGAAATGGGTTATTGAATTTCGTTTTATGGGTTTTTGTGTGGTGACATAAAAACGCGATTTTTCGTTATAAAAATGCATTTTTATTTTTCATAAATGAGGGATGAGAGAGAAACGAGAGGAGGAAAAGCATTTAGAAAACAGATGGCTGTTTTCAAAGGCAAAAGGAGTCTGAGTTTGTGTTGCCGTGGCTGTGAGATGAGTGGCTCATGTGTTCAGTTTGGTTGCTGACAAAAAATAATCTTGTAACATTGTTATAAAAAGAATTCATAATTGTTTTGCTTATTGTTAATGCATGAATATATATATATATATATATATATATATATATATCATGTAAAACATGCATTGGATGCACCATATAGGAAACATTTAGATTCGGTACAAGTGGTATTTGTATAAGCAGAGAAAAGTTAATAAACGGTAACTAAATGATAGATTAATTAGTGAAGTTGTGTAAGCTCTACCCCCTGGATTTCGTTTTTTTAATTCAAATTATTTTTATTTTTCTTTTTTTTTTTGGCATAGAGAAATTACCTGTGTTTATTTATGCTTATAATTGTTTTTTTTAATAAATAAATTCATGGGGTGAGAGAGTTCGGGGGGGGTATGGAGATGATGATGAGGTGATGGGATTATGTGATAAAACAGCAACAGTGTGGTATGGAGAAGCATGGTGGTTATTGCTCCGTTTTTGGCCTAACCTTTTTTATTTTGGTTGCATCGGGGTTTCGGATATTAGATTTGACACGTGGCGGAATCTGAGTGGATAGATGGGGATGAGGTGTTTAAGGTGAGGAGTGGAGGAGAGATGTGGGCCCCTGCACAGGATCACTGTCCTAATATTTCCCTTCTCCTCCTTGTTGGATCTCTTTGGGCATATGCTGCTACCTTTGGGCCGGCTATCTTGGGGGCTCTTGAGAGCGCCTCCCCTCCTTGTAAAAGCCCTGAGAATTATTTGCTTCTACTAGTTGTAAAATAACCATTGAATTAGTTTTAAAATTCAAAATTAAAAAAAAAACAAATAAATAGAGCATGTAAAAAATGAAAAACAAAAGATGCCACAAGTCAATATGATATTAGGGGAAGCAGAATAAAAACAATAGAACAATGGACAAATAGTGTTCTTACCTTCCAAAGCTTCCATTCTCCCTTGGTATTAGATGAGACCACTTTCTGTAATCATGTTAAAAAAAAAAAAAAACAGAGACCGACATAAAAAAAAAATGGTTAAAATCCAAAGAAAACCATACCACAATCCAACCCAACAATTGTCACACACCAACAAAACATCAACAATCACCAGACGACCATCTCCCTCTCTCTCTCTCTCTCTCTCTCTCTCTCTCTCTCTCGTAAGAAAACTAACGGATATAATGCAAAAGGAGGCAAAATGATAGTTACAATAAGATGGATACAGATATTAAAAAGACCTTCTTGAGGACGGTACTTTACGTTTTTTCATCACTTGTTTCCCCTGAAGTAGAGGTAGATTTTCTGCATATAGAGGCAAAGCGGACGTAACCAAAGTCAGCTAATAGGGGAAGAAGAAGAAGAAGAAGAAGAAGAAGAAGAAGAAGAAGAAGAAGAAGAAGAAAGAATGTTGCTTGCTGTCAGCAAACGGATCTAATCAGGAATCAGTTACTTGCAACCCAAGGCATATTCACCTACCACTAACCCCCTTCTCCGTATTACCTTCTACAAAGTAGTGTACTACTACTGATGAGGCTATATATCAAAACTTCAGGTGGCAGAGGAGAGGAGAGGAGAAGAATGACAGATGAGAGAATAATGGAAATGGCTTTTTAATGATCTCAGTTTTGAAGAATGCTTGAATGATGTTTGATAACAGACGAGACGGTACGTGATAAGGCTGAGGAATGCTAACCTGGAGAACCCAGAGACTCAGAACCGACTCCAAGCAGAAGAGACCAAAGCCGATAAAGTAGAAGATCTGCGGTACGATCAAAATATGCCCAAACGATCACACTCGCGGGTCGGGCAAAGGCTATATACTTGTATAAACATGAATTTGGACCGTATTTATGGCAAAAAATGTGGTACGTGCCCCGGCTAACAAACTGTCTGAGATGACATCAATTGCTGCGAGCACACCCCTATTGATCAAAGATTAAAAAAAAAAAAAAAAAAAAAGAATAACTTATTTCAACAGTC